GTAGAGACGGGGTTTCACCATGTTGACCAGGATGGTCTCGATCTCTTGACCTCGTGATCCACCCGCCTCGGCCTCCCAAAGTGCTGGGATTACAGGCTTGAGCCACCGCGCCCAGCCAATTTTTGTATCTTTAGTAGAGACAGTGTTTGACCACGTTGGCCAGGCTGGTCTTAAACTCCTGGGCTTAAGTGAAATGCCTGCCTCACCTCCCAAAGTACTGGGATTACAGGCGTGAGCCACCACACCCGGCCACCATGTGTTCCTATCATTTGCTGTGCTGTGGGTGAAGATGTGCGTCCTTCAGCTCCAGGAAATTGTACTGCTGTTGTTTTGCGGGTGATTCCCCCACTTCGTTTTCTCTGTTCTCTCCGGAACTCCAATTAAGCCCCAAAATTACAAAAATTAGCTGGGCATGGTGGCAGGCACCTGTAATCCCTGCTACTTTGAGAGGCTGAGGCAGGAGAAAATCGCTTGAACCTGGGAGGCAGAGGTTGCACTGAGCCGAGATCATGCCAGTGCACTCCATCTCAAAAAAATAATAATAAATATATTTGACATTGGGGCTGCCCAATAATTTAAAAAACTGTAACAAACATTTAATGGTGAAATATTGAACTTATTCTAAAGTGAGAAACAAGAGTGTCTGCTACCTGCAATCCACATTATATAGTAATCTCACCCATACAGAGGGGCAAGAAAAGAGGGACAAAAATTTAAAAAGGTGGCTGGGCTCAGTGGCTCACACCTGTAATCCCAGCACTTTGTGAGACCAAGGTGAGAGGGTGACTTGAGCGCAGGAGTTCAAGATCAGCCTCGGCAACATGGTGAAACCTCATCTCTACAAAAAAAATACAAAAATTAGCCAGGCGTGGTGGCGCATGCTTCTAGTCTCAGCTACTCAGGAGGCTGAGGTGGAAGGACTGATTGAGCCCAGGAGGCAGAGGCTGCAGAGAGCCATGATCACGCCAGTGCACTTCAGCCTTGGTGACAGAGTGAGACCCCATCACAATAAAAAAGTTTTTGGGTTGGCCAGGCATGGTGGCTCACGCCTGTAATCCAAGGACTTTGGAGGCCAAGGCGGGTGGATCACCTGAGGTTGGGAGTTCAAGACCAGCCTGACCAACATGGTGAAACCCCATCTTTAAT